GCCCTGAATTTGGACTTCTAGCCTACTTTACTGTAAGGAAATAAACTTCTCTTTGTTAAAGCCATCCACTTGTGGTATTTCTGTTGTAGCAGCACTAGATGACTAAAACAGTGGGAAAGGCACAAGATAGGGTTAAGCTAAAAGGTAGTCATTCTCAAGGCAAGTGTGATTCAAATGTGTTACCAAAACTGAAAAACAAAATCATAACACTGTGACAGTCAATAACCTGGATGGATATGGAAGGGCAAATTCTGATTCTTTTCCTCTTAGAAATGTGTCATTTGGTTTTTGCTAACTCTCCTTTGATCGGAAGAAGTAGACACTAAGAGTAGGAGGAAGACAGAACTGTTTCTGAACTCAGCTGGGGTTGTCCCCAGGAGTCAAAAACCATTGTACTCTGATGGCTCCTTTCTCTTCCCCCAGCCCCGCCTGCTCCTTGGGCTCCGGGTCTTCCTGTGGAGGACAGCAGTGACCAGGAGACCGTGAGCAGCTCCCCGGTGAGCTGTACTTTTCTCTCACTCAGGTCACCTGTTACTACTTGAGTGGGTCCCTTTGCAGTCAACTGGCTTATCTGTCAGAAGTTCCAAAGGAATTTTACGCAGCAGGGAGGCCCAGTAACTACAGATTGCTGCTGCTGTTGTTAGTTGCCACTGAGTCGTCTGCGACTCATGATGACTCCGTGTACAACAGAATGAAAAGCTGCTTGGGCCTGAGCTATCTTCACAGTCCTTGGTATGCTCGAGTCCACTGTGGTGGCCACTGGGTATTTTGAGTGCTTTCCAACCTAGGGGGCTCATCTTCCAGTGCTATATCAGACAATATTCTGTTGTGACCCATAGGGTTTTCATTGGCTAATTTTCAGAAGTAGATCACTAGGTCTTTCTTTCTAGTCTGTCTTAGTCTGGAAGCACTGATGAATCCCATCCCCCATGGGTAACCCTGCTGGTATTTGAAATACCAGTGGGATAGCTTCCAGCACCAGAGCAACACAAAAGCCGCCACAGTACAATAAACTGACAGATGGGTGGTAGAACTTTACAGATTAGTCTCCAAGATTTTGAAAAATGTTGCCCAAATCTCCTTACCTGTGTAAGGCAGTGCCACAGCTGAGGCACTGAGGGATTGTATTATAATTATTCTTTCCGTTGAACCTGGGATTGTCAGATTATGTTAATTTGCTTGTTTGCCTTCAAGTTACTGGTTGCTTCCTTCTTGTGTGTCGCTCTTGCTCACATGGCTTGAAATATCGTGTAGTGGGAAAAAAACAAAAAACAAAAGCTTCAGAATCAGACCTGAGTTCAAATCCCAGTTCTGCCACATCCTAGCTGTGTGACTTTGAGCAAGGATGAGAAGCTTCCGGCACAGTACATGCTGCATAGGTGTTCAGTAAACATTAGCTAGTTTCTCTCTCTCATCACTCCCCCTCACCTTTATTGCATTTAAAAGCCAAAGAGAACTCACTTTTTAGTTTCTTCTAAGTTTGTTTAGTCATCTGCCCTCAGACACAGCCAGTATAGAGGCATTTTGTCCCAAGACAGCATGTTTTGAGCTGGGGTGTTATTTTCCTCGAGTTGGTGACGTTTGGTGATGTGGCTGTGTATGTCTCCCAGGAGACACAGAGGCAACCAGACCCTGGACAGAGCAACCACTGTATAGAAATAACTCCAGAGAATTCTGCCAGTGGAGTCTCACCAGGTAAGAATGCCTTTCTCTCTTAGAGTCAGAGTTTGTTGAGAGGTTTCTGTGGTATTCACTACTCCAGATCTTTTGGATTGAATTTTTGAAATCCATTCCTTTGTTCAATTATGCTTGAAAAGATGTAGCAATCAAATACCACAGTCAAGTCACCAAAGATAAGCACAGAAAGGAAAACAGATTGAAAGTTTATTTTGGGGTCAGTAAAGCCGAAAATACCTGAATTTTATTTGTTATAGATGACCATGGTCATACGGTTAAAAGAGATTTGGGCCTGGGTTTTTTTCGTGTAATGTCCTCACAGCCCTTAATATTATTTTCACTGACTCTTCCCAAAAATCTCATTACACTTTTTTTTTAAATTCCTCTCCTTGGAATATAAACTAGGATTAGATTCATCAAACCATTATGTCTTCTGTTTGTCTTCCAGCAAACAGATTTTCTAACCCACAGACCCAGTGTGAGCACCCACCTGAAGCAGGAAACACCACAGAGCCCAGACCTTCAATGCTCCAGAGACAAGGAGAGTGTAACAGGCTCCCTAGTGGGCAGAGTCAGAGTTAGGCCTGGCCGGGTGCCAGTCCTGAGAAGAGCCAAGGCCTGGGATGAGCTGGAGTGGCAGGGCCTGGAGGATGAGAAGGTGGCAGGGGTGCACTGGGGCTATAAGGAAGCCAAGATTTTTCTGGGAATTCTCAGTGAGTCTTGGATCTATGAAAAACTCCGGACCTGCCATTGGAACCGCTAGGTGTACCGGATTGTGGTTGAGCAGCTGCGTGAGCGTGGCTTCCTACGGACCCTGGAGCAGTGTCGCTACCGGTTCAAAAACCTCCACACCAACTACCGCAAAGCCAGGAGCACCCACACACCAGGCACCTGTGCCTTCTATGATGAGATGAGGCCCTGATGTGCCCTCAGGCTGCCACCCCCATCCCAGAGATGGCAGGGTGTCTGCTTGGGCAGAGGGACCACGATGTGAAGCATGAAGAACTGCAGAGGGGTTGCTGGGAACAGGAGGAGGTGATGCTGGCTGAGGCTGTGTTAGAAGGCAGGTCAGGGAAGCAGGGGCGGAATGTAGGCTTCACAGCCTCATCTCTGGAGAAAGGACACTCAGGAGCCATGACAGGATTCTGATGGGGAAGAACTGGGGGTTGAAGAAGTATATGGAAGCCCTGGTATCTCAGCCCTGTTTTGGAGTCCTAGTGGTAAGAGCTCATCAGGAGCAAGATGGGAGGGTCCTAGTTGTTAACAGGGTTTAGATGACCACATCCCAACCAGTTATTTCAGAGGTGCCATATGTATTCAGGGCATATTATGATAGTTTGGAAAGGACAATGAAAGACTATTTTTCATACAAATGGGACAGCCCTTTGTTAGTGTGAGTAATTGAGAAAAAAGAAGAACCATTATGATGGTTGCCCAACATGATCAATGTCATTGATGTCGCTAAATTGTACACATGAAAAACACTGAACTGGCAAATATTGTGTTACATATATTTTTTACAACAATAAAAAAGCATTATATAAGAATGTTTATAAGCTTAAAAATAAATATGTCCGTATTGTTGGATGTACTGATCAGTCCTGTCACAGAGAAAAAAAGCCACTGGATTACTTCTTAGGAAATCACTAAATGCTGTGGTAATGAGTAGGGGTCTTCTTTACAAAATCAACAGCTATGTCTTAGCTTAACTGCGTACCTTTCCCCCAGGTGTGCACTGGGGGTATGAAGAAACTAAAATTTTCCTGGGAATTCTTGGTGAGCCCTGCATTCACAAGAAACTCCGGACCTGCCATCGGAACCGCCAGGTGTACCGGATTGTGGCACAGCGGCTGCAAGAATGTGGCTTCCTGCGAACCCTGGAGTAGTGTCGCTACCGGTTCAAAAACCTCCACACCAACTATCACAAAGCCAGGAGCACCCACACACCAGACACCTGTACCTTCTATGATGAGATGGAGGCCCTGATGAGTCCCTGGACCCTT